TTTTTTTTTTTTTTTTTAGCACTATACATAGGAGTAGAAAAACCTCAGCGTCCATTTTATGTTCCTGCTAACTGACCACACCAAGATGACCTAATGTTTGATCCCAAAATAGCACCAACTCAGTAATCTGTTTCCAAACTATAGACTTCTTTAACAGGATAATGTCAGATAAGCTGCTATGAGCGTAACTGCATCTACCACATATGTATCTTTCCATCATGTTCTTTAGATAAAGTATGTAGATTCTTTACCAACTAAAAAATGTGCACAGACTTACAAAAGTTAGCATGAGGAAACCAAGCAAGTTCCTTCCCAGGATTTAAAAGCTTCAGCAAACTGCAAGCATGCGAAAAAACAAACAAGCATTCCAAGAAAATTCAGTCTTCAAATATCTTTATTGGAAGGCCATGCACTGCCTTCGGTATTTCAAATCACTGTACATTTACTCTGAAAACACTGCTTGCATTTTCTAGTACAAAAAAACTAAAAATTGTTTCAGGAATGTAGAGAAATATTCAACTTAAATAGCGAAAAAAGTGCACCATAATTACTGCTGCACTGCAGTCATTTCTGCATTTTCCATAAGTTTCTTAAATAACTATCCTGTCTTGGTAACACACAATATAAAGAGCAATTATGAAAAACAGACATTTAAATATACTAAATTATTGAGAATAACTTGCTGGCATTGGGTAGCCTATCATGGGAGCAGTACCAGTGGCAGGATACGCATACTGCTGTTGGTTCATGCCATTGTGCATATTTGCCATGTTACTTCCATATTGTTGATCATAGCCATTTTGGTATGCTCCAGCAGCAGGATTACCAGCCCTGAAGCTGGCCTGCATGCCAGCAGCTGCAAAACCGTTTCCAAATGGAGTTCCATTACTAAAGCTTTGAGCACTGTAGGCCCCGTTTTGAGCTTTTGCTCCGAAGTCTCTCTTTCCTACTGCACCATATGTTCTTTCGAAGTTCTCCCTTTCTCTACTAAAACTATTAAATCCACCCCTTTTGCCCGCAGAATATCTGTCACGTCGATCACCCCGGGAACGACCTGTAGAAAGCAAGAATACAGATAAGATATTGTATTTCAAATGCTGTTTACACCAAGAGAGCATCAGAAAATATCACATGCTGTATTCATTTAGCATGTGGAATATGTAATCAGAATACCACATATACTGGGAATGGGACTTGCAGGGGAACTAGGAAGTCTGAGATGGACAGATGTTTCAAATAAATAGAAGCAACTGGGGGGGGGGGGGGGA